CCCCCCCCACCCCCCCCCCCCGCCCACCCGTTCCCCGAAGCCATGGGCCAAGCACATTGCGCGCAGCCCCTCCTTCCTGCTGTCTACTCTACGATATCCATTTCGTTGTTTGCTCTACGTCTACCGGTCTACCGGACACAGTTCACCCATTTTGTGTTTTTTCTATGAAAAGTCGTGGACATCAATGTTTTAGAAATACGACAAAATAGGCCCCCAGGATGACGCCTTCTGTTGGTATACTACAGTATGCACAGACAGACACAGACAGGTCACCGTCATACATCCCCCACACTCATGTACGCAGAAATCTGTAAAACCAACTGTAAAACCTTCTGTTCCCCGTCATCTAATTTTTATCACCACCGTCCTCGCCGAGCTGTGGCTGTACCGATCGGGAGCGCGAATACCCCTGGTCAGAAAGGCGGAATGCTGTTTCAATCAGCACTTCAGACTTCTAGCTGGCCTCGCGAAGATCTCCCAGATTCCTGGAAAGCTTACAGAAGTCGAGAGGTATGTCCGAACGACACGGGAAGAATCCTCAAGAGGACGTTGTAGATGCCCTTCCTGGAAGCGCACACAGCTCAGCAAAGCTTCCGGCGGGTACAATGCGCGTAACTAAGCTCTGGGCAAGATCTTCACAGGGTCGCTGTAACCTCCCCCGACGTCACAAAGGCAAGGCTGGGCGAAGGCGAAGCCTCAATGCTAAGCTTCGAGCCAGACCCCGGTGTCTGTGTGAAGCCGGCTTTGTCTGATGGCCTACAGTGGCTGCCGCAGCGTGACAGAGTCAATTCGAGGCAACGAAGTCTCCACCAAGTGCCTCAAGATAACTTCCATGTCGGTGATATCTGTGCAACCTCGACAGCTCGGAGCGATGCAAATTTCGCGAACGCGTTGTTCATTGAGGCTGCTTCCACAAATAGGATTGTCGTCCAAACTCTTCGCGGAAGGCTCTGGGCGGCCTGCACAGGACACAGGACGTAACAGAAACCTCGGGAGGGTTGCCGGAGCTGTGGCTCAGGCTGTAATCCACCATGCGGTCTGCCTCAAACTTCCTTGGAGTCATCAATTCTCCAATGCACCGGATCGCAGATCAAATCTGAGCCAACAGGGCAATGACCCATCGTACACTTTCCCATCGTCGAAGGTGTGCCGACCGTGACCCTCCTTGACGTTGCCCTTCCATTCCTCAAAATCACAAAAGCACTGCTTGCGCATGCTTCTGCACGCGGGGAGCGTGGGGCGGGGGGTTGGCCAAACGTGTTGGAGTGTCGCCATGGTAGTAGGCGCCATTTGCATAGTAGAAGGTTCCGGTACCCTCCCGTCCTGAAGCACAGGCAGCACACGGTGGCCAAGAGATGTTGATGCTCTTGGGCAAAGGCGGCCCCACACCCACTGGCCAGTGTAGCGATTGTTGAGCCTGGGAAGCACAGGCAGTTCTAGGAACCACAGTGCCCCCATGGTCAACACATCTGTTCCTGAGACGAGCAACTGTTGCGTGGCGTGAATTTGAGCTTCATGTCGGCGCAGCTCCTGCAAGCTCCAGCATCAGCTGCAGGTGCAAGCACTTCACACGAACGGAATCAAGTATCGGCATTGCCATAGTTTTGGGATCAAGCCTGCTGTGAGTTGAAGCCAGGCGAGCCCGTGACCTTCGTCTGCAGAGATGCCAGGCCTAGCAGCTTGAACTCGAGCCTGCGCCGAAGGCGGAGATGCCGGGCGATTCAGCCAGCTCTCCTGTGCAGACCCAGGCGCATGCCTTGTGATGTGCCAACGTACAAACAGTCTCTCTCGGAAGTGCCAAGCTGCCGTGGTCGCAGCATCGGTGCTCGGGTCCATGGTGAGCCAGGTGTGCGTGCCCTCACCTGGAACAAGTAAACTGAACTGTTCGGACAGCGACAAAGAATCTCTGTTCCGAAGCGGACCATGCGGGCAGTTGTCCTGGGCAGGCTAGAGAAGAACTGCAGGCTACAGACGGCTACAGAGGTGAAGTCAACTTTACGACTCCAAGACTCCACCCACTCACCAGTGTAGACTTCAGCACCTTAGCTACTGCTTTGCAACCCATCAGAAGCACCTGAGGTGAATGCAGCAAAACGCCTTCTGCCTCCAAGCAGCTGGTTCCGTTTCTCCAAATCATGGTTCCATGTCCACTCATTGTCCCCAGCCTGACTCCAAATCTCTGCGTATTGGTGCACGACACAGGACGGGGCTGGATGGTTGGATGGTGGAGGCTGAGGCATGGTGCTTCCATTCTCCTTCGTAGCAGTTTCCGCTTGGCCACAACCTCGGAACCAAAGCCGACAGTTTGGTCCGAGCCATCTACGAGAAGCAGTCGCAGACCCTGAAGGATCTTGGGTGCTGACTGCTTCCCATAGCCATGTTTCTGGCCAGCCTGCGTCAGCTTGGCTATGGCCAAGAGGTTGAAGGAACCAAGTTGCTTACACGCATTGACACGCTCAAGTGCATGCAAACTTCAAACTCACACCTGCCAGCCACCGTCGTAGTACGAGGTGGTGTCGGAGTTGTAGGTGAGCTTGCCCTGCCTGATGGCCGTCGTCGGCTCAAGGATTGGACTTTGTGCTGACACGTTGTTCGGGGAGTCACCCGTGCCGCTTGCCATCCAGCCACTGGCCATCGTAGCGAGTCTTGCCTGCAACATGCAGGTCCGAAGGGCTCCTCCTCTCAGTGACAGCAAAGCTGGCCGTCTAGGGCTTCGTAGGCGCCATCGCCTCGTACCAGGATGAAGAGCAAGGAAACGGACAGCTCTTGGCTCGCTACAGTAGGGCCCGCCCTAAGGTTCTGGCCATTCCGTCTTCCACCTAATAGTTCCCCCTGCAGGTAGCAAGCCCGCGCAGTTTTGTAACACGACACGTTGCCGGCCAGCGCCTCGTACTTGGATCCATCGGGCCAGGTAAATCTGCCAAGCAAAACACAACTCCAAGAGTTGCTCTCGCCTCCAGCTCCCAAGCTCAAGAAGGCCCTTAACAAGATGGGCTCGCTTGCCCCGGCCCTCAATCTGGCTCGCGATGAAAGGCCTCCAACGGGACCCCTCCACACGAAAGCACCCAGCAACACGCACGCGAAATAACAGCGCACCCTTCGTACTTGGTGCCGGTTGACCTCGAGAAAACCGCGTCGCACCCGCACGGCATTGCTTTTGGCATTCGGCGTTCTCAGCTTCCGACCAGATGTACGTGGAGGAGAGCCCTTCGAGAAACTGAGAGCCCAGGTGATCCTGGCCGAGGGTGGAAGAAGGCTCAGACCTTTGAAGCTTTGAGAGCAGACAAAGACGCCTCACGGATTATCCCGGAATACTTGTTGTCCGCAAGGTCACAGTTCACGAACTGAGGTGTTAGGTCTTTCTTTACCTTTCACAGGGAACAAAACATGCAGTCTTGCGCAGCTAAACCTTCTCCCTTGCACTTCACATGGAAGTGCCTCCTTGCTTTTGGCTTCTTTTCTTCGCTTTGATCTCTTGGAACTCATGGCAAGGAATTTAATTCAATCCCGCCCATCACCTAGCAGTGGGCAGGAAAGAAGCTGGACAGGTTGGAGCGGTCTTGTGATCCAAAATAACCTTCAACCAAGCTTTGTCAAGTTACATGAGGACAACGTCTTAAATCACAAGTTCATGGTACGTGCTTCTTTGTTAGTTGCTCGGCATCTTGAGCCATTACCTCAGGCGCCATTCATGGACCTGATTTCACAACTGGATTAAGGAAAATCCCTTATGTCTGCATCTGAAAGCTGTAAGGAAGTACGGTGCACGGTAAACTTTATCATGTTTGCAGCAGGCGCCTCTGCTCCTTCGGCTAAACCTTGGCATTCATATCTGATGTCCTTACAATTGTCGGCCGTCGGCTCCTACCCCAACATTGGGAAAAGCGTCCTAGAAGGAGCAGCAGCTGGAGGGACTCTCGTCGTAACAAAGTTCTGCACTTTTTCTGATGCAAAGCCGGAGGTCGCAATCAGTGATGTTGTGTGTCACGAAGCCGGAGTTTCTCATCTCAAGCATGCGTGAGACCAACACCTGCACATCTGCATCCGTGAGGCCCTGCGTCAAACGCAAGTTCTCTGGAGACTTCGAACGGCCGCTGGGCCACTCAGTTACATGTCCTGGGCATGCCAAGTCAGGCAAGGCAAGGCAAGACCCACCGGCATGGTAGAGGTCGGATTCGCCTGCCGTCTGCAGAAACAACGTCGACTTTCGCATGCACCTGACAGCACCCTTGTAAGCCCGACATCTCCCTCGCGAGTTCCAAACAGAGGCCGGTACAACCCCCTTCCATCTCCTAAATTGTGTTGCCAAAGACCAGCAATTTTCAGAGCTGTGTGGTGGGCAATAGATTGGGCCGGTGGTAATCGCAACGCTTCCCGGCACCGAGCTAACGTTCGTGTTTTTCGGCATGAGCCGCACTCCACCACAGCAGGAAATGGCGTCAAAGTGCGGGTTCTCTAAGAAACTGGGGAGAAGCGCATCCGTGAGATTCTGTGGGCATGCGCTTGGCACAGAGATGACAGGCATTAGCCACTTGATTTCCAAAAGTGAATCTCCCTCGTCTCCAAGCAGATGGCATTGAAGCGTGAAGGATCTCCGGAAGTCAAAATATTCGTCAACCTGCGGCAAAGTTGTTTGGCTCCAATCTTGTCGCCATTTCAGGCTACAGCCGAGCCATCCTGCACGCCTCAAACGCTGCGTCATCGCAAAACAAAACGCAAGATATGCCTTCGCCGATGGCAGCACAAGGTACAAATCCACGTCTCTGTCAACCACGTCTATCTTCCCTTCCGTCAACGAACCCACTGTTCTTCCATGCCGCATGAGGCCAATAAGAGTACCGGCAACTGGAAAATAAATAGCTCCAGGTCCAAGAATCTGTCCGACTGCTTTCCTTGGCTGTGGCTTTCTGCCAACACGATGTTCACGCTTATTTTTATGCGGCAGCCTTCTTGTCTCAGTATATTCCAAACATCTAGAGGATGGTAGTTCCGGATCGAAACATGCCTTCCCAGGTCCTAAGCGCGCTGCATGCATGCAGAGGCCTCTGGTGTAAAGATACGCCCTTGGAAGAAAAAATGCTGTCAGGGCCGACCTGCTTATCACAGAGGTGAGGGTGAGAGGGAAGAGAGTGGGGCCAGTCGCGATCACAGGGCCTCTCGGACCACCCTCTTCCTTTTCTCGCTCTCCTGTGACATCCAGTCAATCCCGAATGCCGCTAACGGCAGGTTGGATAGTCGATGATGCCCTCATTCTGTCGCCAAGTGCTTTCTGTGAGCGCTATATGCTAATAATTAGCAAATATAAGCAAGCAGGCTACTGCACTGCTTCAGCTTGTACATTCGGGACGCTACGACTTACCTATAAATGGAGGGTGGACTTGATAGCCACTTGGCAAAGTGCATGCCGTGCCAAGCTTCCTCACATCTCGCCATGCTCTTTCGACCACTTGATCAGACCTCCCTCGCATGTCTCGGCGCGCAGGCCAAAGATGCACGTCGTAGGAAAAGCTCTGAGGATTTCGCGGATCACTGCTGGGGACAGGGAGATAAAGATATTGCCGCGGATTGAAGCATTTGAAATACCGAAGCAAGCCAGGACTGCGTATCCAGGCCCGTGTTGGGCCTTTCCAGCCTCCACCAAACCACGGCTCCAGGCCAGCATCCCTCAGCTCAGTCGAAATATCATCGAACCTTGAGCGCGCAGTCTGCAACAAGTTTCTGACCATTGCTGAGGACCCGGGAACGTCACTGGCGTGATCGTTGAAAACGTCGAAGGCCATGTTCATTGATGAGCTTGCCTCCCCCATCCATGGTTGCAGAAGCCCATGCGGCGTGTCAGCTGAAGCCACAGGGAACATCCTCAGAATAATGGAAAAGGCGGCAGCAACCAGCGTCACAGGTGTGACTGCGGGGCACCAGCTTGCCACCCTGTCATAGTCCGCATGCATTGCAAAGCTAAGGCGTTCGAAGGTCTTTATCTCACTCCAGCTGGCATCTGCATGGAGAAAGTCCCGTAATGCATTGTACATACCATCGAAGGTCGTGACTCCGTAGCCTGCAAGACCGATAGTTCCAGAGCACGGGAGCATCGAGTCGGTCTGTGCATGTCTGTGCTTCGCCGTTGAGCTTGCAATGCAATGCGCAATTTGTCTCTGAGTGTCTCAGAGAACCGTTGCCAGTGCCATCGTTTTGCAGCTCGCTTAGAAGGATGCTGCGGAACGTGGGGATTTGGGGCAGTTGCCTTCATCTTGTCAATACTCACTCCAAAAGATCCGGGTCTATCCTTGTGCTAGCTATGACTTGCGAGATGCTGTCAGATGAAAACTTCTTGGCATCCTAACCTGCTATTGAAAATGCAGAGCAGAAACGCGGAAAGGGACGAGAACTGTGTTCTCATCCACTGCCGCACCGTCGCCAGAAACTGTGTCTGTCTCTGACACTACCAAACAGCAACACGAGAGACTTACATGCCCTGCCACCGAAACTTGAAAAACCAAATTCTACGGTGCCAGAATCCCAGACGGATGAAAGCATGCTGGGACCCCTTTTTCGCTCGCCCCTCGATGCCCTAGGTAACGCTTCAGGCTTTTGATGTCCACCATCCCCTCTGTGTTCAGGGTCCTTTTAAAAAAAACAGCGTGCCCTACACCTCAAGGGAATCACGTGCTCTGCCCATATCGTCTTATGCGTATGATGAACAGGCCAGCGGAGATGATACACTGATACACGCGCAGATATAATCGTGTTGAATCGGCTGGGAGTTCAGGTCAGGTCAAGGACGTGTTGGGAACTGTCATGGCCCCAGGCCCTACACCGCAGGGATGCATTGAAATCAAAAGGCTGTAGTCGATACTCGGAGCCCCGTCAAGCAGGCACTGCAGTCACTGCAGCTGAAGCGGGCTTACGCTTCGCGGCTGGAAGCTTAAGCGGTGCGACCCATGTCTCAGTCGGATCTTGGTCTGGTGCCCGTGATGCCTGAGCCAGAGCAGGCCGCCCACCACCAAGACTCGTCCAATTGGTAGGAGATCCCAGCCTGCTCGAACGCCTTACCCACGGAGCCGGCTGCTGGCCTGAGATCCGAAACAAAACCGGCTGCTTCTTTCCATATTGATCAACCCAGCGAATGCACCACGCCTGCGACACACACACACACACAGAGCATTTCCTTAGAAGTGGTCCACAGACCCGGGCTTAAAGGACTCAGAGGACGTTGAAGTTGAAGCTAGGATCGAAGCTCCTGAGGCTCTCATCCAAGCGACATTGCATCGGCATCTGAATGTCAAGTCTTCGGTAGCTCAGAGTCTGCCTGGAAAATTTTCGGCGTTCCCCGCTGCAGGATAGGGCGCCGGCCTGCCGTGGATGCCGTAGTAAGACGGGCATCATGCTGTGCATCAAAACACGCTGAAGAGCGGACCTCCGGGGCGGCTTTGGAGGCCGAGTCCGCTCGCCGGGCCAGGGCCGCCCGGGCCACTCCGACTCCGACCTCGTCCGCCGGACGTCAGGTTCCCTTTTTTTAACGCACTTCGACTTCGACGTCGACACCTTCTGCACCTCTCCTTTGCGAGTGCCTCGGCCGTGCTGTCGCTGACATTGGCAAGTTCCACAGTCCTGGCTTGGTGCCCTTTACTACGGGTCTTGCGCCGAATGGAACATTTCGTTTGCAGAACCCCACCGGCCATGTCAATTCACCAGAGACAGCAAAGGAAATTCTAGATATCAGGCAGCATTGCTTTGGCTTCCTCGTTTCTCTAGGATTATCGCAAGAGTCGATGTTTTAGCGGTTCCCTGGCTTTCGCCGTTTAAGTCGTCGGACCGAAATCACAAAGCCTTTAATGTGACACCGGCCTGTGGAATGTAGGACCAGCATGCACGGGACATCATGCATTATGAACAGCGAGGCAGGAACTAGCAGCTGACAGGGACTCGCCCAGTAAGATGAGCGCGACAACCGGGGGTCAACAGCTATAGGAAGGGCAATGTGGGGAGAAGCGGCAGAATCGCAGGGGGGGCCGCCCGACCAGCATCGCTGAGCATAACTGGGCGAGATCTGAGATCTGCGAGACTGTGAGAGGGCAGACGATGGATGATGATGGATGGGCATGTCCCATTCAACAGATGCTGTCAAGGCGACCGAACGGAGCCTCTGGGTCCAAGTACTCTGACTGAAGTAGGCTGCACCGCCCATAGCTCACAGAGCAAAACACAGACTGTGAAAGATGTAGTCACATTCCACTTCTTTATGCTCGTGACACGTCTCCTTGTGCAGGGGCTTGAAGCCGTGGCGGCATCCTGGCGCCAAAAACGTCGGACGTCGGACCTGAAAGGAACTGCGAGAGCAGAGGAGCGGCCTGGAAAAGGCCGGCATTGTCGCGGGACCGGCTGGCCAGCCTGCCAAGGACGGAAGGACGGAAGCGCACGCATGTGCTTATGCAAGAGACCCCTCGACCCTCAGCTTTTGCAGGAGGCTTGTGAGGCTGCTTGGCTTGTGGAGAACGCTTGCTTCAGGTCTTGGTGCCACACCGCGCGCTGACAATCTGGAAGTCCTTTCCCAGAAACGCCGAATGAGTTCTGACAAAGGCTCTGTTAAGTGTTACTTCAAACTTTGGACCGACTCGTCGTCCTGTCTTCGGACTCTTGCCGGATTGGGTAGGGCGCGACCTGAGAGGGACAACCAACACGGCGGAGCAACCGGCGCTTGTTCGCCGAACACATGCAGGTTGCAGATGCGCAGATGCTAGCTGCTGACGGCACCCCATTTAAAGTAGCTTGGCCTGGGCATTTGCGAGTAGATCTACCATCTGTACAGTACATGTGCACACGCAAACGAGAACCCCATTTGGCGAACTGACCTATTGGCGCCAGATGGATGCGTTCATGATAGGCCTGCTTACATGGGGCTCGATGCTCTGAAGACGAGTCGAATGTTGGACAAAGCGATGTCCCGAGTGTTGGATTTGCATGGCAGCAATGCCCAACGTTTTATGCGTCCGACTCGTTTCGAATCGGCACGAGAATCTAGAGCCCAGTGCAACTCTGCAGCCCCGAAAAGGAAAGGCGCTGACTCTGGCTGACGCTCCTCCTTGCTTGAAACGAGCCTTGGCCATGTGAACTGACAGTGTGTACTGCGCACGGCATCATGCCATCACATTGCTCCAAGAAAGTTACTTGGCTACAGGCAAAGTATGAAGCACCCTGGGTCACAGCCACAGCCGACGGGAGCTTCATTGGCTGCCTCGGCCTCAAGATTAGCATTGCCAGAGAGCGGCAATGCACGGAAGATCCCGGAAGCGTCTCCGATGCAGCAAAACGAAGCTGCGGCTGGGAATCCGACTGGTTAGTGCCCAAGAGGTGCGGAGGAACATCGTCCTGGCGCATTACAGTCGCATTGCATGAAGCTTCGGACCCTTAGGAAAGGTTGTCGGTACGAAAGCCATTCCAACCCACACGGGAGGAACTCAAGGCAACACAGTTGGCAACAGAACATCCGCACACACAGCTACTTGACACGTGAGTCGGAAAACACAACCTAGAGAATCAGGAGAGGAGGGAACAGTGAAGATTGGCCATGTCCATGTGCGCGCACAGGTGGGTGAGCGTTTGCATGCAGCATCCGATACGGGTCTCGGTTTGAACTCTGGGTAGCTGCAGATATGCGAGCTGCAAAGTGCTCATTCTGTCCGCCCTTCCTTGGTGGTGCTTGCAGCATGTCTGTGTGAGTCGTCGGGAGAAGCTCCAGAACGGGTCTTGCACAAAGCAGCTGACCGCAAAAAGCAGACTGGGCTCCATGAAATGCTACATGGTGGCCGCTGGCAGCTAAGACTAAGACCCAATTGCTTCTTTTGCACACTGCAATGCTTTGACCGTGTCCAGTGGGTCAAACTGCAGAGTGTTAAGGGACCCCCCAGAGGGAAGAAGCCTACGCCGACGCTGCGTCGGTTCCCTGTGCCGGACGGCCTTGATTCCGAGATGTTTTGGGGTTTGCTGCCTGTTTCCCTCTCGATGCGACTATTAGGAGATCGTGCGAGACTGGAGAACTAGTAAGCTCCTCATCGTCCTCCTCTGCTTCGCCTTCTTGGTCTTCTTCCGTATCAGACCAATCGCACGTTCGCGGATTTACCTGGGCCGCATTATTTCTCTGGCGACAGCATTGAAACAAACACAGCTGGCACACATGGCATGGCTGCACAGCCTTGTGCTTAGTGAATATTGAAGCCTATGCATAGCTGGCATAGCTGTGCATCAGACGGACGTCACATTTCAAAAAAGCTAGCTATGGTACGCACATTGTGAAGAATGCTCGGCTTTTGCATCTGGTCAAGTAATGTGGCTTTCCCTACGTGTTGAAACCTTGCAAACCATGGCGGTGAAAACAAGCAAAGGAAAACACTGGTGTCCAAAGAGAAGCACTCCAAGTTATTTGTTCCGGCAGCCTGTCTGCTACGGAACGGCTGCAGGACTGGAGGGAAAGCAGGGGAGGCGGACAGCAGCGGAGGCGGGTACAGAAACTGCGGGAAACGGAATCGGTCCCCGCTTGAGCAGCCGTAGCTGCAGCAGGGTCCGTTGCGTGCTAGCTAAACACATCCAATCAAAGCCCGGTAACGTTCAGCAGGCACAGCCCGTTTCCTGAAGCCAACTAGCTGCAGAACGCAGGTGCAGTTCCGTCTCTTGTCTGATGGTAGAAAAAATCCGGACGGTTCTGTCAGCTACGGAACGGATACCATACAGAGACACCATTGCTGCATCCTCCGGCTGTAGAACCAAAGAAGAATCGCGCGGCGGCGCTTGACCACAGCCGTGAGGGAAGCCAAAAAGAGGATCAAGCAGCACACTCAGACATCGGATGCAGACGGCGAAAGAGTAATGGACGGGATGGTAAAAACGACGCCCAGTCCCCCGAGACTCCTTCAGAAGAACCGAAGCCCGAAGAGGCAGGATCAGAATCGCGGCGGACAGAATCAGTGACATCATCCGCAAGGCCAGGCACGTGGTGGATGTAGACCGAGATCCGGTGTGAGTGCTGAAGTGCGTGCAAGCGCTCAAACTTGCCGGCCTTACGGCGGACGCAGAAGCAGGACAAACTCAGTTCGATATCCAGACGACACGTTGTGAGAGCGCTCCTATGTGCCAAGACATGACATGACATGAGCAAGAGGACACTTGGGGAAGCCCACAGAGGGGCATGAGAAGGTCACACAAATATATGTTGGCAGAGTGACGGACACGGATAAGGCGACACAGAAGCCGAATGAGAAGGCCCGCGGCACGCGCCCCAATAGGAAAGAAGAGACACGGCCTCCGTGGTAAAGCTTTTGGCGGTGACGGTAACAGAGTGAACCGCGATCCTGAAGAGCGGATGAGAACACGCCTGTGTGCGAGGGAGTCGGAGGAGAAAACATCCATCAGCGTCGGGCTAGCTAAGAAGGTACGTATTGGATGTGAAACCAGAAACAGAAGATTTTCTGACAGTCTCTAGTTCCTTTCGAGCGGTTTGCTCCTCGTTTTCACTTTCTCTAGTCTCTTTTGAGCGGTTTGCTCCCTGTTCTGACATTCTCAAGTTCCTTTCGAGCGGTTCCCTCCTTGCTGTGAAATTCTCTAGTCTCTTTCGTGCGGCTTGCACCTTTGTTGAATTTCTCAGGTACCGTTTTCAAGTCTCCTGTCTCCTTCGAAACTCTCTAGTCTCTTTCGAGCGGTTTGCTGCTCCTTTGGAAAACCCCTAGTTCCTTTCGAGCGGTTTGCTCCTTCTTCTGAAATTCTCTAGGGGATTCCGAAAAGACTCGAGAAATTGCAAACAAGGGCAGGCCGCTCGGAAGGAACTAGCGAATGACAGAAGAAGGAGCAAACCGCTCGAATGAGACTAGAAGTGACTAGAAATATACTAAAGTAATGAGAGCAGACCGCTCGAAAGGAACTGGAGAATTTCTGAATAACGAACAAACCGTTCGGAAATGATTGGTGGTTCTCAGAAAAAAAACTAGAGAAATTGCAAACAAGGAGCAGACCGCTCGAAAAGAACTGGAGAAGCTCAGGCAGGAGCAAACCGTCCGAAAGAGACTAAAGAATTTCAAAGGAAACTAGAAAGAGAACAACTGCTCGAAAAGAACCATAAAATTTCAGAAGAAGGTGCAAACCGCTCGAAAGAGACTGGAGAATTCTCTTTCGAAATTCTCACGTCTCTTTCGAGCCGCTTGCTCCTTCTTCTGAAATTCTCTGATTCTTTTCGAGCGTTTGGCTCTAGTCTCTATCGTGCGGCTGCTAAGCGATTTGCTCCTTGTTTTCTATTTCTCTAGTCTCCTGCGACATCCTCGAGTCTCTCTCTCGAGCGGCTTGCTCCTTCCTCTGAAAACTTCTAGCATCTTTCGAAATTCTCTCGTCCCTTTCGAGCGGTTTGCTCAGTGTTTTCACACTCTCTGGTCTCTGTCGAAATTTTCTAGTCCCTTTCGCGCGGTATGCTCCTCGTTTTCACTTTCTCTAATCTTTTTGTTTCCTTTCGAGCGGTTCCCTCCTTGCTTTCAAAGTCTCTAGTCTCTTTCTCGCAAGGCTTGCTCCTTTTCTGAAATTCTCAGGTACCTTACGAGTCGTTTGCTTCTTGTTGTCAAAGTCTTTAGTCTCCTTCGAAACTCTCCAGTCGCTTTCGAGCGGCTTGCTCCTTCTTCTGAGATTCTCTAGTTCTTTTCGAGCGGATTGCTCCTTGTTTTCATATTCTCTAGTCTCTTCGAAATTCTCTAGTCTCTTTCGAGCGGCTGGCTCCTTCTTCTGAAATTCTTTAGTTCCTGCTTGCTCCTTGTTTTCAAATATTTCGAGCGGTTTGCTCCTTGTTTTCAAGGTCTCTAGTCTCTTTCGAAGTTCTCGAATATTTTTCGATTCTTCTGACAGTATCTAGTCTCTTTCGAAAATCTCTAGTCTCTTTCGGGCAGTTTGCTCCTTCTTCTGAAGTTTTTAAATTTTCGTCGAGCAGTTTGCTCTTCTTCTGAAATTCTCTAGCTCCTTTCGAGCGGTTTGTTCTTTGATTTCAAACTCTCCAAATTCTCAAGTATCGTTTGAGCAGTTTGCCCCTTCTTCTGCATGCTCCTCGATTACAGATTCTGCAGTCTGATCCGAAGTTCTCCAGTCTCTTTCGAGCGGCTTGCTCCTTGTCTTCAATTTCTCTAGTCTCTTTCGACATTCTCTAGTTTCTTTCGAGCGGGTCGCTCCCTGTTGTCAAATTCTGTAGTCTCTTTCGAGCGGTTTGCTCTTTTTTTCTGAAATTTTCTGATTGCTCCTTGTTTTCAAATCCACTAGTATTTTTCGATGTTCGCTAGTCTGTTTCGAGCGGCTTGCTGTGCCTAGTCTCTTTCAGCATTCTGCAGTATCTTTCGAGCGGTTTGCTCCTTCTTCTGCAAGTCTCCAGTTCCTTTCGAGCGATTTGCTCCTTCTTCTGGCCCTCTCTACTTCCTTTTGGGCATTTTGCTCCTTGCTTTCAATTTCTCCGACATTCTCTAGTCTCGTTCGAGCGGTTTGCTCCTTCTTCTGAGATCCTCTAGTTCCTTTCGAGCGGTTTGCTCCTTGTTTTCAAACTCTCTGATCTCTTTCGAAATCCCTAGTAGTTTTTAAGGCGGTTTGCTCTCCTTCTTTTGAGAGAAACTCTCTGGTTCCTTTCGAGCGGTTTGCTCCTGGATTCAATTTCTTTAGTCTCCTTCGAAAGTCGCTAGTCTCTCTCGAGCTGCTTGCCCGTTCTTCTGGAATTCTCAGATTCCTTTCCGGTTTGCTCCTCGCTTTCAATTTCGTTCGTCTCTTAAGGATTTCTTTAGTCTCTTTGAGCGGTTTTCCCCTTCTGCTGCAATTCTCTAGTTCCTTTCCAGCGGTTCGCTCCTTGTTTTAAATTTCTCTAGTCTCCTTTGAAATTCTGCTAATTTTCACTCAAACCAAAGCGCCTGCAGAGTCGCACAGTCTTCGCATTGGGCTCAAATGAATTAAGGAGCTCACAGAGTAAAACAAGTACACATGTAAATACCGGCCAGGAAAACAAAGTGGAAAACAAGTGTACCTACTGTACGTGTACAAGGTGTGCAAAGTTTTGCACCCTGCCTAAAGCATGCCGAAGTCCAACTAAGGCTACGCTTTCACGAAACTTTGCGACTTCTAAAGACGCACTGTACTGCAGCTCAAAGCTACACACTAAGGCCGGTAGTGAAGAAAACACAGTAACTAGTTTCAAGACAGTTCCTGAAAGAAAGGTTTCACTTGTGTGCACAAGCGCTGCCGAAGACGGTCTTTGGCTTGACATACCGAAACTACGATCCTACGCAGAAGAC